TTAATCTATCAATTAACTGAAATTTGTTTTTTAAACATTATACTATCAATTAACTGAAATTTGTTATGTAAACATTATACTATCAATAAACTGAAATTTGTTTTGTAAACATTATCTATCAATAAACTGAATTTGTTAAGTAAACATTAATCTATCAATAAACTGAAATTTGTTATGTAAACATTATACTATCAATAAACTGAAATTTATAATGTAAACATTATACTATCAATAAACTGAAATTTGTTATGTAAATATTATACTATCAATTAACTGAAATTTGTTAAGTAAACATTAATCTATCAATAAATTGAAATTTGTTATGTAAACATTATACTATCAATAAACTGAAATTTATAATGTAAACATTATACTATCAATTAACTAAAATTTGTTTTGTAAACATTATACTATCAATAAACTGAAATTTGTTTTTTAAACATTATACTATCAATTAACTGAAATTTGTTTTTTAAACATTATACTATCAATTAACTGAAATTTGTTATGTAAACATTATACTATCAATAAACTGAAATTTGTTATGTAAACATTATACTATCAATTAACTGAAATTTGTTATGTAAACATTAATCTATCAATAAACTGAAATTTGTTATGTAAACATTATACTATCAATAAACTGAAATTTATAATGTAAACATTATACTATCAATGAACTAAAATTTGTTTTGTAAACATTATACTATCTATAAAATGAAATTTGTTTTGTAAACATTATACTATCAATTAACTGAAATTTGTTATGTAAACATTATACTATCAATAAACTGAAATTTGTTATGCAAACATTATACTATCAATTAACTGAAATTTGTTTTGTAAACATTATACTATCAATAAACTGAAATTTGTTACGTTAACATTATACTATCAATAAACTGAAATTTGTTATGTAAACATTAATCTATCAATAAACTGAAATTTGTTATGTGAACATTATACTATCAATAAACTGAAATTGGTTATGTAAACATTATACTATCAATAAACTGAAATTTATAATGTAAACATTATACTATCAATTAACTAAAATTTGTTTTGTAAACATTATACTTTCAATAAACAGAAATTTATAATGTAAACATTATACTATCAATAAACTAAAATTTGTTTTGTAAACATTATACTTTCAATAAACAGAAATTTATAATGTAAACATTATACTATCAATAAACTGAAATTTGTTAAGTAAACATTAATCTATCAATAAACTGAAATTTGTTATGTAAACATTATACTATCAATAAACTGAAATTTATAATGTAAACATTATACTATCAATTAACTGAAATTTGTTAAGTAAACATTAATCTATCAATAAACTGAAATTTGTTAAGTAAACATTAATCTATCAATAAACTGAAATTTGTTATGTAAACATTATACTATCAATAAACTGAAATTTATAATGTAAACATTATACTATCAATTAACTAAAATTTGTTTTGTAAACATTATACTATCAATAAACTGAAATTTGATTTTTAAACATTATACTATCAATTAACTGAAATTTGTTTTTTAAACATTATACTATCAATTAACTGAAATTTGTTATGTAAACATTATACTATCAATAAACTGAAATTTGTTATGTAAACATTATACTATCAATTAACTGAAATTTGTTATGTAAACATTAATCTATCAATAAACTGAAATTTGTTATGTAAACATTATACTATCAATAAACTGAAATTTATAATGTAAACATTATACTATCAATGAATTAAAA